TGACGGTATTATGACACATCTCATTTGACGATAGTAGATGACTGACGTAATCGAATTCGACAATTGCAGATGATCATTATTTATCACGTGATTTCCAGCATCAGCCGTTTCCAGCATCAGCTGCGACATTAAATATAAATAGTAAAAAGAGAAGACATCTTGGAGAAATAGAAAACTTACCTATTAAAATTGGTGAATACTCATTACCAATTGATATAATAGTTGCAGATACAGATATATACTCTGTAATTGTTGATAATGACTGGTTATCTAAAGCCAAAGCAAAAATTAACTGGAAAAATCAGTAATGATGATTAAAAACAAAGATATAAAATTCAAGTTCCTATTGAATTTAGATATGTTACTAGAATTCCAAGAGTTGAAACTATATCCAAAGGAAAAACAAAAGAAGAAAACTCTGATGTAAGTAAAAGTAAATATGAATCCTCGAGTGAATCTGATAAATCCACTGAATATAAAGATAAACAACTTGAAGAAAGAATCTATACTCTTAATCTTTGGCAATAAATTGAAAAAGAAAATTTAAAGCAGATGTGTTCATATTGTCATACAAAACAAATAAAGAATAGAATGAAATTCAAGAAATTTTTACCAATTTTTCATAAAAATAAAATAGAAGATTCTTTTAACCTTCTCCTAAACTTAATGTTAGAAAATTAGATAACATTACGGCATATTTGTAAACTACCCAAAATTTAAAAAAGTTTGACTAAAAATAGTGAGTCAATTTAATTGACATCATTTATACATATAAGTTATAAACCAATACTATCAGTATTAATAATATCCATGTTTTCATAGTTCTGTCTAATGAGGTGCATCACTATGCATAAATAATTTAAGATGGGTTGCATTAATAATTTAAGATAGATTACATGAATAATTTATTAAGAATTTAAGATGGGTTGGATGGTAGGAAGCTGGGTTAGACATAAGACTGCCATAGATCTGGGGTGCAAAAAAATTTTTTCAGGGTTTAATTTTGATTGTTTGATAATGAATTTGGTGACTATTATTTTAAGTTTGGTGACCATTATTTCAGATTTGATGACCAAATATTTGCTTAATTCTGCCAATGCGCTGTAATAAAAAACAACAAAAAAATTTTTATGATCTTGTTAATGAGTATATTGATATTTTTGCTTAAAATGATTCTGATTTAAAAAGAACTAATGAAATCCAATATGAGATCAAAGTAAAAAATAATAAACCTATAAAACAATAATTTTATCAAACCTCCCCCAAAGAATCAGATTTTATTAAAGAAGAAATTCAGAAAATATTAAAACTAGATCTTGTTTAACCTTCTAAAAGTTCTTGAGCTTTTCTAGTTGATGTTGTCAAAAAGAAAAATTGAAAACTATATTTTTTTGCGTTAATTATAAAAATTAAATACAATAACTAAAAAAGATAATTACATATTGATGAACTTTTAGATATATTACAAGAATCTAGATAGTTTATTTCTTTATATCTAGCAAGTAGTTACTGGCAAGTAGCTATAGCTCCCAAGATGTACATAAAACTATATTTACTACTCAACATAGACTATATGAATTCAAAGTAATGCACTTCAGATTAACTAATACTCCAGCTACATTTCAATGCTTAATAAACAATATACTACAAGAATATCTTTGAAAATTTGTTGTAGTATATCTTGATGATATTAATATTTTTTCTAAAACTTTGGATAAACACATTCAATATCTTCATCTTGTCTTTAAATATATTAGAAAAGCAAACCTTAAACTTCAACCTGACATACTTTTTTATCAAACGAAAACTAGCATTTTTAGGATATATAATCAATAAAAATAGAGTTTTATCTGACTCAGCAAAAATAGAAAAAGTTAAAAATTATCCTGTTCCTAAAACTATTACCTAAATATGAGCTTTTTTTGAACTTACTTCCTATTATAGAAGATTTATTGCTAACTTTTCAACAATAGCAGCTCTAATTAACCAACTTCTCAAGAAAAATATTAAACTAAAATAGAAAAAAAAAACAACAAAAAGCATTTAAAACTCTAAAAGAAAAACTTATCACAACCTCTATTCTTATATTTCCAAATTTTAACAAAGAATTTTTACTCTATACAGATATATCAACTATAGCTCTTGGTACAGTACTATCACAAATAGAAGAAGATAATAAAGAACATGCTATAGCATATGTCTTCAAAACTTTAAACAAGCCTAAACAAAATTATTTTGCAATATAACTAGAATGTCTAGCAGTTATATAGTTAATCAAATCTTACTTATATGGGCAACAATTTACAATTATTACTAATCATTCTGTATTGTGCTCTCTATTAAAAATTGCTAATCCAACAGAAAGACTTGTATATTGAATTAAGAAACTTCAAAATTACAATTTTTCTATGCAATATAGAGCAGGAAAAATATATAAAAATGTAATGGTCTATCTAGACTCCTTCAACAAATCTAAACTCAAATTGAAGCAATTTTTTTATTTATATTATTATTATATATATTACTATTTATTATATTTATATTTTATTATAGATATTTCTATCTATAACCTTATTTATTATTACCTTCAAACTCTTAATTTTTTATTTAATTTATCTTTTTCACAAAAGTCTAGCATTAAACAAAAGGCTATTTCTTATTTTATTCAAAACAATTTATTATTAAAAAGCCTTCTTCTAATAATTCTATATCTCTTTGTATATTAAAAATTAATAAAATAGAAGCAGTTCTTTACTAAATGTATTATGATCCTAGTGCAAATATTCTTTTTTTTAACAAAATATACATAGCAATTACAAAAAAATACTTTTGGCCAGGAATGCAAAAACATATCAGAGAATACATACAAGCATGTGATGTCTGTTAAAAAGGAAGAAAGTCTCCAAAAACTAATTATTTATATCTAATAGTAGTAAATCAGCCTTTTGATATAATTGAAATGGATATTGTAGAACCCTTACCAGAAACTAAACAAGAAATAAATATATTATTATAGCAACAAAATATTTAACAAAATAGCCAGAAGCAAGACCTATACCAAATACTCAAGCTCTCACTATAGCAAAATTTTTCTATAAAGATATAATCTGTAGATATAGCTGT